GGCTCGAGCGCCAGCTGCGGGAGCCTCCCGCCCCCCAGGAGGGGTGACGGACACCCGCACCCCGCTTGCCTCGGCCCAGGACCCTGCACTCCGGCCGCCCGCGCCCGGGATCCCAGAGCTGCTCCCAGGACTTCCGGGAAGCGGGCAGAACGGCCCACGTTGCTGTGCCCGCCACGTGGCCACGGGCGTGTCCGGACCACGATTCTCAAAGGCCGCCCCCGGGAAGGGCCGCTGCGCCCCACCCCCCACCGGCCCGGGGCCCCGAGCCCGACCGGGCGGCCACCGGTGGCTTTACCCGACACGCGGGGCTCTTGGGTGCGGACCCCCGAGTGGGGCCCGGGGACCCCGGCGCCCCGGCCGGGTCTCAGTGCCAGCTGCCGGCGGCAGATTGGAAGCTCGTCTCTGGCGAGTGTGAGCAGCAGGCCGGCTCTCCGTGGCCTAGATTCTGGGGTGTGGGGGGGCCGCGGTGAGGGGGGCCTCTCGGTGGGGTGCAGCAGGCAGCTCTGGGCCCCAAAGGCTGGAGACAGCCGGACCCGCAGGGGGGACGGACGGGCCCCGCCTCCCCGTGGCAGCCAGAGCAGACGCCTCTGGCATGCAGCCCGCCGGGCACTCGAGGCGGGGTGCGCTCGCCCTGCGACCGACTCCAAGCTCACACCAGGCCCGTTGGGCCCGCCGGCGCGCCCCGCTCCTGCTCCCCGCTCCCCGCCGGGGGCGGGAGACGCTTCCCTGAGACGGTCAGCTCACTGCTGAGGCCCGTACATGCCTGCTGCCCCCCTCCGTCCTTACCGCAGGCCCTGGGGCGCGGCGGGGCCCTTCGGCCCTGTGCCGGGTTGTTTCACACGCAGACCACGGGGTCGCACGGCCTGGGGCCGCCGGAGTCCGGCCCGGCGCCCCTCAAACAGCCCCCACCTGGCTCCGGGCTCTGCTGTCTGCAAACGGCCTTGTACCTGCCCCGTGGCATCACAGAGCTGGGGCCGGGGCGCTGGGCGGGTGCGGCCGGGGGGACCCACGCCCGCCCGAGGGTGTCCGAG